GGCATGGTGGCACATGCCTATAACCCCAGCTACTCAGGAGGCTGAGGGAGAAAAATCACTTGTACTCGAGAGGTGGAAGTTACAGGGAGCGGAGATCCCACCACTGCACTCCAGTCTGGGTGACAAGAGACAAACTCCGTTGCAAAAAAAAAAAAAAAAAAAAGTAACATGCTTACTTTGTATCATTTGGAAAGTCATGGCTTCCTTTTTTCCTTTTCCTTTTTCTTTTCTTTTCTTTTCTTTTTGGAGACAGAGTTTCACTCTTTCACCCAGGCTGGAGAGCAGTGGCATGATCTCAGCTCACTGCAACCTCCGCTTTCTGGTTTCAAGCGATTGTCCTGCCTCAGCTTCCCAAGTAGCTGGGATTACAGGTGTGCGCTACCACGCCTGGCTAATTTTTGTATTTTTTCAATAGAGACAGGGTTTCACCATGTTGTCCAGGCTGGTCTCGAACTCCTGACCTCATGATCCACCCATCTCGGCCTCCCAAAGTGCTGGGATTACAGGCGTGAGCCACCACGCCTGGCTGAGTTCCTCTTTTTTGAAAGTATCAGCAATTTAACAAGTTTCAGGAGCCTTACGGGTATTGGGGGGAACCTCAAGAAGAGAGGAATTTGCTCAAATTTTAAGTACTACAGGCAAAATCTGATGGAGAAAGCATCTTGGGCTTGCCTTCTGTGTCTCAGGATATCAAACAACAGATTATTTATTTATTTTTTTGAGACAGAGTCTTGCTATGTCCCCCAGGCTGGAGTGCAGTGGCACGACCTCGGCTCACTGCAAGCTCTGCCTCCCGGGTTCACATCATTCTCCTGCCTCAGCCTCTCCAGTAGCTGGGACTACAGGCGCCCGCCACAACGTCTGGCTAATTTTTTGTATTTTGTTAGTAGAGACAGGGTTAGCCAGGATGGTCTCCATCTCCTGACCTCCTGATCTGCCCGCCTCGGCCTCCCAAAGTGCTGGGATTACAGGCGTGAGCCACCACGCCTGGCCTCTCTTTTCATTTTGAGATGGAGTCCCACTCTGTTGTCCAGGCTGGAGTACAGTTGGATGATCTCAGCTCACTACAACCTTCACCTCCCAGGTTAAGTAATTCTCCTGCCTCAGCCTCCTGAGTAGCTGGGATTACAGGCGCGCACCACCACGCCCAGCTAATTTTTGTTTTTAGTAGAGACGAGATTTCACCATGTTGGCCAGGCTGGTCTCGAACTTCTGACCTCAAGTGATTGGCCCGTCTTCGCCTCCCAAAATGCTGGGATTACAGGTGTGAGCCACGGCACCTGGCCGAAACAACAGACTTTCCAAAGTCTAAGGTTCCTTATGGAGACTTCCAGCAAGGCAAATTCAGGTGAGCTTATCTGGTAAATGAGTACTACATAATCAGGCCAAATCTAATGAGATCAGCCTTATAATCAAAAATACATTTCCTTGGCCAGGCACAGTGGCTTACGCCTGTAATCCCAGCACTTTGGAAGGCCGAGGCGGGAAGATCACTTGAGGTCAGGAGTTTGAGACCAGCCTGGCCAACTTGGTGAAACCCCAAGTCCACTAAAAATACAAAAATTAGAACTGAAAAAAAAAATACAAAAATTAGCTGAGTGTGGTGGTGTGTGCCTGTAATCCCAACTACTTGGGAGGCTGAGGCAGGAGAATAGCTTGAACCCGGGAGGCAGAGGTTGCAGTGAGCTAAGATCACACAACCACACTCCAGCTTAGGTGACAGGGTAAGACTCCGTCTCCAAAAAAAAAAAAAAAAAATTTCCTTGATTATGAGATCAAAAGAAAAATGTGTGCTTCAGTGGAAAATGATACATTGTTTAGAACACATCTTTCCAGATTATCT